TGCTGCAATAAGCAATGCACAAAGTAGCCCTTGTAGACCACTGTGATGGAGTTGCAGTCCAGAGGATGAAGGGTCTGTTGCTTCTCAGGAATAATTCCAAGCACTAATGATTCCCACGGCCAAATGATATCTGTAATTTGATTTAGGATCTAACATAGCACAACAGGAAGTCAATTTTATACTGCAATAACTTGCATCACTGTATGCCAGCTGGGACTGGAGCACCTCACTTAGGAGGAAACGCTGCGGGAGTTGGGCCTGTCATTCTCCAAAAGAGAGAACTGAGAGGGACCTCATTAATGTATACAGGTATCTGGAGGAGGGGTGCCAAAATGTTGGAACCAGGGTATTCTCAGTGGTGCAAACCAATAAAACAAGAGTTAATGGGCAGGAACTGGTGCACAGAAAGTTTCACCTGAATGTGAAGACAAACTTCTTTATTGTGCGAGTCACTACACACTGGAACAGATTGCCCAGAGAAGTCATATATTCTCCCTCACTGGAGATATTCAAGAATAGTCTCTATGCAATCCTGTGCCATATGTTCTAGAATGACCCTGCTTGATCAGGGAGGTTGGATCAGATTACCCACTGTGGTCCCTTCCAATCTGACCGATTCCGTGATTCTGTAGAAGGCAATACTGACTTTGGAAGTGTCCACTTGTGTCATGGGGAAGTTGTTATCTCTGCTATTTCTAAATTTCCTTTCTCCCTTTAGCTCATGCTTTTTTTGTCAAGGCCGCTGTTCAGACCACATCTTTAGAGGATTGTTTGTCTTTTCTTCATGTTAGATGTTTACTAGCTTCTAGGAGAGAGAGAGAGAGAGAGGGAAGATGCAGTTGGGAAGGAGGTACTGACGAGCACTGTTATTTTCATGTAATGAAAACCACTGTGGATGATGGAGATCTTGGGACATCTTTTCTATACTCCTACCATACCTGTTTGCATGATGCCACATGGCCAGGACTAAAATAGGAGATTGATATTTAGTTCTCAATGTGCAGAGGGCAGTTTGTCTTCAGGATGTTTCCCTGGCCTGAGTGGATAGGCAAGCTATCTTTATTGGGAAATGTTCTGATATGACCACACTTGTGAATACTTACCCTGGTGCAATTGTGCCTGTCTGGAAAAGATTTACTCAAGGACATGTCTGCACCTATGAGTTTGATACAGTGGGTAGATTATAGGGGTATAATCCTACCTTTTTCATCAGCTTGCACTGTTTCTTTTCTTGGGTACTGTTGTCAGTTACATATTTAAAAACTTGGATAATTTTTCTGGAGAAATTTATTTAAGAAATTAAATACATTTAAGAAATAACTCAAGACAGTATTTGAGTGAATTAACTTATGTTCTTCATGAACTAAATACAAAACTGGGTTTGAATACTAGGGAATAAAGGATAAAAAGATATTGCAGGAATACCAGGTATATCTCTGATTTCATAATTACACTGGCAGAATTTGCCTGCCTCTTCATCATATGTCAATAATATTTATAAAGCTCAAGTATTCAGTACTATGGTTTTGCACAGTTTCAGAGCATTTGAAAATAGTGCAGGCTTTTCTCTTCGAGATTTTCAAATGTATTTTCTGAAAGTAAAAGAAGCACAAACCATTTCAGTTGACTTGCTTTTCCTCTACTTTTATATACTATGCTTCTCTAATAGAAAAGTGTGAGCCCAGATGAAAGATCATTCTGAAGGTATGTCATGTAACACATTAGAAGGTTTTTGTGCATTATTAGAATCATTAAGTATAGTCCAGAGACACTTCAGTGGAAACACCCCTTGTAAATGGTTTCTGGGGTCTAGTTAGCCAGGGCTGCTACAAAGCATGCAGACTGCAGTGCCATAATGTGCTGTGTAGACTTGAAGATGACAGCAGAAACAAAGCGCCAAAGATTGTCAGAGGAAAAAGGAACAACTGTGTATATCCCAGGCTCTAATCTGATTTGATGCAAAACCAAGAAATGAGTAAATATCTCTTTTTGATTCTCTGCGTAATGACTTCCAACATTATCTCAACCTAGAAGCAAATGCATGAAGCTTTCATCCTCTAGTCTTGTCTTTTGAGATTTTTCTCTCATGCATTGCCTATGTCCGCAGCTTTTCAAAGTCACCTGCTGTTGTGTTGCCTGTTGTTTGAAGTGACAAATCAGACCTCTTCAGCAGTAACCCACTTTCTTTTTTACTGTCTCTGAAGTTCCAGAGCATAATCACACCCTTTTCTTGTAAAAATGTATTTCTATGCATTTGGACCCTTGTGTCTTGTTGCATTGACAGAAGTTTGTGCTGCTGGGAACTGACAAGGACTGACAAAATAAAAAGGTTTAAATGATGTTGCTTGTTAGCCACCTTGATGCAACTGGTTGTACTTATGGGTCAGGAGGAGGAGGTGGTTATACTGGGGGAAGAGTGGGCCAACTGATGCCATCAGTGTGCAGAAATCCTGGCAGTGGGGAGGCCTCATTATGTGCCACCCATGGGACAGGGTAAGCACAGCAGTCTTGGGTCTCTACACAGTGGTGCCCTGGGGCTGGAACTTGAGCACAGCCACTAGAGGCAAGAGAGGCATGATCAAAATAGACTACATCCTTCATGCAACATTAATGAAAAGGGGAATGGTAACTTCTATTTCTAAATGAATGCTGACCCATTTCTGAATCTTTCAAATCCTGAGCTGGTATGTTAACCTTGAGCTGTTCTTCCTCTGTTAACTCATGGAGAGCTGAACTGAGAGAAAGAGAAAATAAATGTGTATTGTGTGCTAGATCAGAACATTCTGATTTTTAAAATCTTTAGGACATCCATATCATCTTCAAAGGAATCTGAAGTCTAAACAAGTGTTGTAGTTTAACCCAAGCCAGCAGCTAAGTACCACCCAACCATTTGCTTATACACACTCCCTCTGCCCTGGTGAGGAGGAGAATTGAGGAAAAAAAAAGTAAGCCTTATGGTTTGAAATAAGAAGAGTTTAATAATTGAAACAAAATCAAATACTGTTAATAATGATGGTGGTGATGATGATAATAATAGTAATGAAAATGAGAGAGAGAGAAATAACAGCCAAGAGAAACAAGTGATGCACAATACTGTTGCTCACCACCTGCTGACCAGTGTCCAGCATGTCACCAAGCAGAGATTGGTGGCTCCAGCTTATATACAGGGCATGGTGTTTTAGGGTATGGAGTATCCCTTTTGGCCTATTGGATCAGTTGTCCTGGCTGTGCTCCATCACAGCTTCTTGTGCACTACTCACTGTCAGAGCGTGGGAAACTGGAAGGTCTGTGATTTGGAGAAAGCACTACTTAGCAACAACAAAAACATGAGTGTGTTATCAACATGATTCTCATACTAAATCCAAAACACAGCACCGTATGAGCTACTTAGAAGAAAATTAACTCTATTCCAGCCAAAACCAGGGCAACAAATTTGCTTAACAAAAATTACTACAGAAATCATTTGAGTTAATAATATCAGGAAATAGTGCAGGTTCTTAAAGGTCTTTAGTTCATGCATTTATCATATATACTAGGGATTTTTTTAACATGCTGTTTTTCCTTTAATAATATGACTAAACTATCAAGATAGGTATCAACCAGTTTTAGTCAAGTTCACCTGATTCTGAGGCTTTAAATGGTCTTTTCACTTCCTTCTAAGAACGCCCTATAAAAGAAATCACTTTTAGAAGTTTGTGATTAATTGAAAAAAGAAGTACTAATACCAACATGCTCTTCAAAAAACATTTCACTTACCAAGGATTAGCCACTCCCACTCCTGTATTTGTGTAGAAAATCCTTCACCCTCTCCCCCATCCCTGAAAGAGGGATAATGGAAATAGCTGATATACAAAGGCATTATTGTCAATAATTTGCAGGTAGACAACAAAGAAACTGGAGTGTGTCTGATGCTGGGTTTTATGTTTCTCTTTTCTTGCTCCTCTCATTGTGATGTCATCCAAAAGGGAATTCAGAGCTCTAGTGATTGAGATGGTGTTGGCCACCGATATGTCCTGTCACTTCCAGCAAATCAAAGCTATGAAGAATGCTTTGCAGCAGCCAGAAGGGTGAGTCACTTCACAATACAGTACAGTGAGGGGCTGCATTTCAGCTGGTGCTTTGCCACTGTGTTTAACTCAAAAAGCACCTCTCCAGACGCCCTCACTTTCTTTGATGTTCCCATCGGTATTCTTTCTGTGGTTGAATTTTGAATTAATTCACTTAGGAAGGGAATGGCACCCCCCAAATACACACATCTCTAGTCTGTGCTGGTGGATCAAATCTTGCAAATGTCACTATTGCTGAGACAAGCCTCACTGGCCATTTTTCTGGTGAGTAACAAGAAGGACATGATTCATCTGAGTGACCTCTACGGATTAAGTATGACTCAAGGTTATAAGATCTGCAGAACACAACTTACATTTTGCCCTTCTGCAGATGGTATCAGCTGCCACCCCTGCAAGGGGCCTGCTTCATAACCAGATGACAGATGAAAACAACTTGAGATGCACTGAGGGAAGGACTGGAAAAATAACAGATGGACCATTATGGGGAAGGCCTTTTCTTCTTTCCAGTACGCCAATGAGAGCTGTAATATTTTGTTCACAGCTCTTCCCCATAAAATTCCTTCTTTACTGCAGAAAGCTCAGAGTGATGGTCAGTTTTTCACCCTGGACACATGCCTGTCCAGAGCCTCCAAGAATTTTAGCTGTATTAGAATTACACCTGTATCAGACCAGACTGTGGTTAGTCTCTTAGTTCTCCGAAGCTGCAAATCTTTCAACTATTTTGGATAGCCAAAAAGTGGAATTAAAAAATTAGACCACCTCTCTCAGAAAGCATTATTTTCTGGATTCTTGAGCTAGCCTCTTAGGTTATGGTTATAAGAAATCACGAGCCCTTTTATTCTGTGCCAGGATTCCCTTCTGACCTGACACTACCTTTTTTTTTTCACTACTCAGTGAAGTATCAGTTACTGTGCAGACCCATCGCAACCCCTGAGATTAGATCCTGACTGTTCATTACAGTAAGACGATAGTGACTAGCTTCTCTTCTGAGCTGCATAAAATGCAGCCCAGATGAAATGGGGAATACAGCTGCTCTTCAGGCCTGCTAATGGAGACAAACAAGCCTGGAAAGTTGCTCAGCAAGGCTGAGCAATGTTTCTTTTTACACTTCTTAATATATCCTTTAAAACAGGAATTGTCTGTGTTGGAGAAATAAGACAGTTTTTCAGAGTTGTCTGATTTTGTGAACAGAGAGATCACTTCATTAATATCCTGGCCAAGGGTTCTAATTACATTATTTCCCTGTAAGATTTTTGTCATTCTCCCCTGCAAGAGCAGACAATTAATTTGTTTGATCCTTTGGGTTTTCAGAATTGACAAACCGAAAGCCTTATCGCTGTTATTGCATACAGCAGATATTAGTCATCCAGCCAAGACCTGGGATCTTCATCATCGCTGGACCATGTCCCTGCTAGAGGAGTTCTTCAGACAGGTAAAGATGTCTTGAAACATAACCAAGAAATGCATAGATGATGAAAACGGGGTCAGGACACTTGGAATGAATATAGAGAGTGGCAAGAGCATGTAGATATGAGATGAGAAAGGCAAAGGCCCAACCTAGAATTGAATCTGGCCAAAGATATCAAGGATAACAAAAAGGGCTTTTTAAAATACATAAATACTGAAAGGAAAGCAAAGGATAACACGTGTCCACTAGTTAATGGAGAGCAGACCCTGATAACAGAGGATGCAGAGAAGGCAGTTATTGAATACCTTCTTTGAATCAGTCTTCATGGTTAAGATCAGTCCTAGGGATCTGTGACCCAAGACATCAGGGTAAATGAAGGTAGGGAAAAAGACTTTCCTTGGTCAAAGAAGATTGGGTCAGTGAACACCTAATTAAACTGGACATCCACAAGTCCTTAGACCCTGATGGGATGCATCCATGTGCCTGGATGCAATCCTGAGCCATGTGCTCTGGGGTGGCCATACTCAAGTAGGGAGGTTAGACCAGATGACCCATTGTGGTCCCTTCCAGCCTAAGTGTTCCTGTGCAAGGTAGGGAAGTTCCTTTGTATTTCTGCAGCCCAGAGAGTGTGTGTAGGATTGGGCAAGGAAGTAGAAAAATATGAACATACATATCTTCCTTCTTTTCTGATTTATATAAGGACTTCCTGAATGGTAGCATGCTTTCTCCTCTGGTACAAGTAGCACTTAGGAAGTGCCTCTTAGGAAGTTAGTGTCTGATACACTGCCTGTAGATATAAACATTACCTACATAGCAGAATGGGAAACTTTCAAATTAGGAAATATAGAATATGTGTCTCTCTACTTAGCTCTAGAACCATAAAAATAGATTTGGGGAGCTGTACTTTATAGAACTGTAGTTACATTGTTGGGGTGGATGAGAAAAAGGCTTACTTTACCCGTACTTTAGATGAAGTGAACTGATCAAGATTTTAGCTCATAGTGGATCACCTGTTGACAGACTCACAAATCTAAGCAAACCATGGAGTGCTGTATGATGGTTAAAAGGTCCCCGAGTGATTAATAGAAAGAATCTAAAGAGTTGCCTAAAAAAAAAAAGGTAAACAGAACACTTAAGGAGTGTTTAGTATACTTTTCAGCAATATGGTCCAACTTTTCTTGACAAAAGCACAGTCTAGAAAAGATGGCCTAGGATCCTATGCAGCTGACTATTAAAAGTGTCCACTGTTGGGGAATCCACCACTTCCCTGGGGAGATCATTCCAATGGCTAATTGATCTTGTTGTGAAAATTTTTCCTTCTGTGTCAATCAGAATCTCCCCTGGAGTAACATGTCCCTATTATCACTCACACGTTTAATCTGACTCCTTGTAAAAGTGGAGTCTCCATCTTCTTTGTGGCCACCCTTTAAATACTGGAACATGGTGGTAAGGTCTCCCCTAAGCTTCCTTTTCTCAAGGCTTAGCAAATCCAGTTCTTACACGGCAGGCTTCCGAGTCCTTTCATCATCTTGGTGGCCCTTCTCTGAACTCTCTCCAGCCTGTCCACTTCTTTGTACAGTAGTGACCAAAACTGAACACGATATTACAGGTGTGGCCTGGTAGGTGTTGAGTAGAGTGGGATAATGACTTCTTTATCTCTGCTGGTGATGCCCTTGTTAATGCAGCCCAGCATGCTGGTTTTCTTTGCCGCAGCAGCACTGTTCACTCATATTGAGCTTGTTGCTCATGAAGACCCTCAGGTCCTTTTCCACAGAGGTGCTCCCCAACTGGCTTGATCCCAGCTTGTGCTGGGGTCCTGGATTATGTTTTACCAGGTGCAAGACCTTATATTTGTCCTTGTTGAACTTCATTAGGTTCTTATGAACCCACTCTTCCAGTCTATCCAGGTCTGCCTGCAGGGTGGCTCTCCCTTTCAAAGTGTCAACTTCCGTACCAGTTTGGAACCATCAGCAAATTTCATCAGGCTACACTTAGAATCATAGAATCATAGAATCAACCAGGTTGGAAGAGACCTCAAAGATCATCGAGTCCAACCCTACCGTGGTTAGTAGACCATGGCACTAAGTGGCACATCCAGTCTCAGCTTGAAAACCTCCAGGGATGGTGAATCCACCACCTCCCTGGGCAGCCCATTCCAATGCCTGACTACTCTCTCTGTAAAAAATATCTTCCTAATATCCAACCTAAACCTCCCCTGGCAGAGCTTGAGTCTGTGCCCTCTTGTCCTACTGCTGGTTGCCTGGGAGAAGAGACCAACCCCCACCTGACTCCAACCTCCTGTCAGGTAGTTGTAGAGGGCCGTAAGGTTTCCTCTGAGCCTCCTCTTCTCCAGGCACTTGAACCCATTATTCAGATCACTTATGAAGATATTAAACAGCACTGGGCCCAATATCAATCATTGGAGTATCCCACTTATTACAAGTTGGCAGTTTGAAAAACAGCTCTTGACCACCACCCACTGACAGGCTGTGGCCTGTCAGCCAGTTCCCCACCCACTGCACAGGACACTCGTCCATACTGCAATGCATCAGTGTCTTTAGGAGGCTGTGGGAAACTGTATCAAAAGCCTTGGAAAAATCCAGGTAGATAATGTCAACAGTTTGCTCCACATCAACTGAGCAGATTACTTTCTTGCAAAAAACTCCTGGTGTTTCCTTTGGAAAAAATAAATAATCTGCATCTGGTCAGCTGTAGTCTGTTAATTCCTTATCTGAAAGACCAGAAAACAATGCAAAGAAGTGCAAGCTCTGAAAAATCAGTCCTGGCTCTGATGTTTTCTCTTGAAAGATTTTTCAAGAGAAAATTGAGTTCTGCTCAGTTCTCTGGAGAACTGCAGTGAGAAGTTTTCTTGTGCTCAAGTGGGCTTTTAGTTGGTACACAGAAGTACGAAGCAGGCAGGGAAAACTCTGAGGAAAAAGTCACAGGAATCAAAATGCTTAGTTCACCAGTTTCTCCTTGGACTACAACTTTTCCAGCCAGACTCAAATTCTCCACAGTTTTTGTAAAAAAAAAAAGAAACAAACAAAATGCTCAAACAAAATCAAAACATAATTAAAGTAAAATGAGAGGCTTTTGCAGCTGTGATGTAAGATATCAAAGTGCAATGTGTCTTGTTTTTTCATAATTTCTTCTAATTTTGTTTTTTCTCCAGGGTGACAAAGAAGCAGAACTAGGGCTGCCCTTCTCTCCCTTGTGTGATCGCAAATCTACTATGGTTGCTCAGTCTCAAATAGGTATGGTCCTTTTGGTGCATGCAAAGTAGCATCTTAAAAGCAGCACTTACGCTTCCCTGTAGGGCTAAGATCATGGTGATCTCTCATCATTTGGAGCTATGTTAAGGAGAGGAAATAAAGCAAGATGGCATTATTTTTTCCAGATCAACAATTCAAAACTGAGACGCCATTAAATTCATGGTGATGGTTCCCTGCAGTAACCAAGTTACCTCTGATGTGCCTGCAGAGATAACTACAGTGCCTGGTTATAACACTTAATCCTTGGGTTTGAGTGTCATTGGTATATATGAAAATGTAATGTCAGTCTCTTTGATGACGTGAGCAAAACATATTCTGTGATTTTCCGTTTATCCCTTCCACCCTTTCCCACTGAGTGCTTTAAACCAACCAGTATTTCTCACTGAAGCCAAGCAATTAAGCAAACCTTTTTCTGTGCCACCCATACAAAACCAGAGATCTTCTTACAGACTCACCAACAGT